CACCTTAACGGCAGGTCAATTCAGACGTTACTGAGGGAGTAATAACGACTCGAAGTAATCGGATGAAATTCGGGCTACCTAAAATATGCTACCAACTAAAACTATAGATACAAAATACAACTAGAAATTAAAAACGGCTTGTGGCGGTCCAGTACGACGAAGTTGAACATAAGTTACAGTCTCTACCACATCCCTCTGCAACAGCAGATACGTTATGGCAAGAACAGCAAGAGGACATAAATTTAGTAGCGCATTCCTTTCGGTATCGAAACCGTCGATATTCGGTAGCGCATTCCTTTCGTATTTTTCTTGGGACTCAAAAATTGCCTTGTTTTTTTACTTTCCCGTATCCCGTGCTCGTCCCGAAAAATTGTGTGATTTTTATTGGATGCAACTTCGAATCACGCGCAAGTCAGGTTGGATTGCACAAGCAGAAAAAAGTATGCTGCATCAACAAGAGACTGCTACAGTCCGCCCTTTCTCTAGCCTGCGTAGCAAGCGTTTCCAATCGTGTTATTGCGCGAAAGTTAGAGCGGGAGCAAAAAAGGAAAGGTGCATCGAAGGGAGAGGGAAAGGGGGAAAGAGGAGAAGAGGAAACAGCGTTTCCATCTTTCCCCTCCCCCTCCCCCGTCAATCATTTTTTTCCGCTCTTGTCCCAATTTTCTCGACGAACTCGCGCGGAAACGCTTACTACGCAGGCTAGTTTATTTAACAATCCAACTTTAGTTCCATGGTATCTTATTGGATTGTTACCTCTGAAACAAGATATTCCAATAAACTGCCATCAAAAATACCATCTTGGGTTGTTAAATGACTAATATACCAATGATATTCCAAAAATTATTTGTCCCCTTTACAAATTGCCAAGTATTCCAATATTATTCCAATATTGGATAGTTTATTTAAGATGTTTTCCAATAATAATCCATGTTGGAATCTCACCATTTTTTCCTGTGATACTGCGAACAGGATATACGAGTCGTGTTATTACTCGCTCTTTTTGGAGATATTTCGGTTCGACAGTTCAATGTGAACAGCGCAAAAATATTGAACGGTTCCGTGTGAACAAAGTGCCCGGACAGATTTTTCAACCGGTCAAAAATTCGACCAGTACCGTGAGAACGTAGCTAAAGAATCCGCCATGTTTACATACAATCACAGTGGCCCACCAAAATACAGCCAGAGATTATTGTTCTGAGCATGGTTGTGAAGCTGGGATGTACTGAAAGAAACTCGTAGTAGAAATTTCTGTACAGCTGGAAGAATTCGAGATAAACAGGCTTGAATAAAACAAAGCACGGCTTAGTTTGATCTGCTGAATGGGAAGAAAATGGATCCCTACCTTAGACCTGCACCGTCCTATACTAGACGTAAAGAAAATATTAAGATGAAATCCTTACGGAAATTGAGTAATTTTAATTTTCAGCGGACAAAAACATCGTACCAGAATAATTTCAGGCATATTGCATTCTTTTTCACACTTTTCAAGGGCTAATATATAGATTTAGCCAGGGCTAAAAGCGAAGCTCTGGTTAATAATACGTGTAAACAAAAAAATTAAATCGTGTAACGCTAAACTGGGGACGACAATGAAAATGGCTTCAAGAGTAATAGATCTAATTAGCAAAAAAGCAAATTGCACGTGCAGCACACTTTTTCTTCTAATTAGCAAAAAGCAAAATTTGCACGTGCAGCACGCTTTTCTGTCTTTCCCTTGCCGTTGTTTTGCACGACTACAACACTGTTTTGTACGAGTAAAACGTCAAACTTCCTAGTTACACACTATTTTTATGAAATTGTCGTATGTGCCTACCCAATATTTTGTTTCCAGTGTTCATGTTCGCTTTTATTTTTCACTGCGGCTCATTTTCACCTTGCTGGCCGGTAGCATTTCTCATTTTCTCACCGCCGCTTTGAATTTCCATGTTTTTCTTCCAACGAATTTTCAATAACTCGCTCTAGCTTTTTCTCTGTTATCCACGTTAGTGTACACATAAAAAATAACGCCGAAAAAGACACGACTTTTTTTTTGTAAAAGTCCGTTCGGCCATGTGATTTCCTTACAAATAAAACCTTGAGTTGCATTTGGGTTCCCATACCTGTTGATTGAGTTATTTCACATTGGTATCCCTGTGGTGCGGACGGACGGTCGTACGGTCACGTGATTACCAAATTTTCTGGGATGGGTAGATTACCACATTTCCTTACTTATGGGGCTCCGCCCACGCGCGCGCTTCGCGCGCGGGTGGAGCTCCGCTATAAATGTAATAAGTTCCATGAAACAAACTTCAAAAGCCTCAAATTTAACAAAATGAAATCTTTTGCATGACGATTTTACCTGTGAAATTTGAAATTTATTTTCTCGGGCTTCCGTAAGAAATTGTCTTTGGTGTTATTACAGATAACTATTTACAACTATAGCCCTTTAAAAGTGTAAAAAAGAATGCGATATGGCTTAAATTATTCGGGTTTAAAGTTAAGGGGTAACAAGGGAGAATAAGGGGAACAAGGGGTAACCTTGAGAAACAAGGGGTAACAGGGGGGAACATAGGGTAAAAAGGGGTAACAAGGGGTAACGAGGAGAAACAAGGTGTAACAAGGGGGAGCAAGGGGAACCCTTTGTTCCCCTTTGTTCCCCTTGTTTCCGCTTGTTACCCCTTGTTCTCCCTTGTTCCCGCTTGTTACTCCTTGTTCCCCCTTGTTCCCCTTTGTTACCACTTGTTCCCCCTTGTTCTCCCTTTTTACCTTTTGTTCCCCCTTGTTCCCCTTTGTTACCACTTGTTCCCCCTTGTTTCCCCTTTTTAGCTTTTTACCTTTTGTTCCCCTTTGTTCCGCCTTGTTCCCCCTTGTTACCCTTTGCTCCACCTTGTTCCCCCTTGTTACCCCATGTTTCCCCTTGTGTCCCCTTGTTAGCCCTTGTTTCCAATTGTTTCCCCATGTTACACCTTGTTCCCCCTTGTTCCCCCTTGTTCCCCCTTGTTACACATTCTTCCCCTTCTTCACCCTTGTTACCCCATGTTCCCCCTTGTTCTCCCATGTTCCCCCATGTTCCCCCATGTTCCCACTTGTTACCCCTTGTTCCCTCTTGTTACTTCTTGGTACCCCTTGTTCCCCTTGTTCCCCTTTGTTGGGGAGCAAGAGTGGCGCAGTGGTGATAGCACTCGCCTCCCACCAATGTGGCCTGGGTTCGAATCCTGGCGTCTACGCCATACGTGGGTTTAGTTTGTTGTTGGTTCTCTCCGTTACTCCGAGAGATTTTTCTCCGGGTACTCCGACTGTTGAACAATCAGATCTCAAGGATTTCAAAGATTGTGGAACGTCACAGCGAGATACTTCGCCTATACTGAATATAGTCCCATTACTTTCAGGGATTTCGTTGTTCATACCATCCAAGCAGTCCGATGTGTCCTCCTCAAATTGAAGTGTCCTCTCAGCAGTAGAGGCGAAAAAAGACGTTTAATTTAGTTGGATCAAACCGCAGGGGCTGAGGATTGGGTCTAACGATGTGGTAAATAACGCGCCACACTTCTTTTGGGCTTCTTTGAGATAATACATTCTTAATGAAGGCTTCGCGCGCATGTCTAATAGCCGGAGGGAATATGAGCTTATTTCTGATACCGCGAAAAGCTGACCATGATTCGAGACTGAACGATACCGGTGGGCTTCCTTTCTTAATTTTTCTCTAGTTTGTTGAAGTGTTCAAGGCATTCGCGAAAAATCTCATTTAAGAAGTTAAGTTGCTCATGATTGACAGAGGTAAGCCACAACAAAGTCATATATAAAGTCCTGCTGCACAAATAGCAAAACGACATCTTTTCATGAGTACAGCACTGAATCTTCCCTATATATTGCTTGATTTTGGAAAATGTCTTCATTGTACTACGAATACGTCCTCCTTGTCGCTAAATAAATTATCGTTTTTCGGAACTCCTTGATAGCCAATAAAAAAGGGCACTTTTAGAAAGTCAGTACTGGTCGACCGCACCACGGTCGAACCAGACATTACTTGACAATGAAATAGGCTTTTAGCAAGAGTTTTTGTTAAAAAGACCCATTTCTATCGTGCATGTACTATTTAGGATTTGACTGAGCTGGGAATGGTCTGGTCTGCTCTTCTCCTCGCTCCTTTTTATTATGGCTCTTCCTTTACTGTCCAATTTGGTCGATTTGGCCTGAAATTGTTCAAATGGCTGCAAATTCTTAGTTCACCGTCAGAAGCCAAATCTTTGCAAATCCGGTTGGATCTTACCGAAAAATTGTGCGAATCAAGTCAAATAGGCCGTTTGGAACGCAAACAGTGCTTTCTGCCTTCGGAGCCTTGTTAGCCAATTGTGATGAAATTCCTCTTTGAATTTCTGAAACAAGGTGACTGCTCTAAAATAGACCTCTTACGTCATTTTCTGTCGTCCTCTTTATCCAGCTGACTTCTTGAAAATTTTGCTGCGCTATAGTCCTTGTCGTTCAATCAGTTTTTTTCGTTTACAATTCTAAATTTACTATCAAAAAATAGATAAATCATACCTTGATCTAATCCTCGCTCTCTCCAATTTTTCCCTTCTTTACCTTCGGTAGTCTGACTTTCGGGCTTATCGGACGAAAGAAACCTAGGTTTTGGCCTTTTTTGAGACAAATGGCTGTAACTTCGCTAGCCCAAACTACATGCAAACTAGATACACTTTACACAGACACTCCCCAGAGAAACACCCCTTACAAAAGACAAACAGCTCACAAAGCGTGTCCCCTGCTATTCCTTAGTTATTCTTCAACTGTCTATATGGCAGACATCTCGCCTCCGGGCTCAGGCTTAATTTACCTTTTATCAATTTACGACAGGACAATAAAAGGTCACCCAGGAGCCGTTAATCAATTGTAACCCTTCCCAAGCGGAAATTCGCAAAGAACCCACCACCGCTTTGTGGAAATGATGTCACAGTTCATGTTCCCCAGGGATCCCATGATGGGAAAAAGAAGTTCGCATCTGACAGACAGACAAAACAAAGATGGCGGACACAGCGCACAATGCCGAGGTGGAAGAGTTGAGGTTAGAGTCTCTTTTATCTAATTTAAAGGCAATTGATGCAATATTTTGTATACTCGAATGTTTCAAGTTAAGGAAAAAACATACCTTGGAGAGATCAACTCTCAGAAAGTCGTTATCTTCCTGCTTGTGTATTGAATCGTGGCGTAAAGTTCGATAATAATAGCTATTGTGTGCATAGAAATTAACTTATATTTATATTTTTAGTTGCTTTAGTTCCCTATAATTCGGAGATAAAATATATACATTTTTTGTACTCCAAGAAGCAAACTTCACTCTATGTTTTGTTTTCAAAGCGTCCGTTTCCTGCGCGCTTATTTTTTTGTGTTTGATCGTATATAAGAAGATCGATTGCCATCGGGCTTTTAAGCTTACTTTGCCAGATCTTAATTCATTTTTATGTCTTTTTCAAAAATATACAGGCTCGTTTATATTGAGAAAGAAAAATTGTTTTCATTATTTTGAAATTTCAGTAACTTAAATGCACCAACTTTTTTTTGTGAAGGAGAAAATAAAAGTCGAACTGCAAGAATTCTTACATTTAGCTAACAGCTGACATATCAGGTTGATAACAATTTATACGAGCAGAAACAAAGCTTGTCATTATTATTTAACAAAATTTATTCTGTATTATTTGCATTTTAAATTCAGGATTTTGCTCACACACCCTAAAGTCACGTTCGTTCATACCCTACAGTATATTGTTTGTGGGTATCATTGATGTTATCCAGGTTTATCCAGGAAACATTCTTGAACTTTGTTCTATAGATCAGTTGTAACTTAGTTTTCATATTTTGAAGCATTTTATTTGTTTGTGTTCACTTCCATGTCCTCATTTTCATATTTTAAGATGCCAACAAGTTATGTAGAATTTAAAAATGTGTAAACATGCAGTGTAATACATAAACTTAAATGACGTTGTTTATCATCATAAAGAGGTTTAAAAAGTTACTCTAGGAGCATAATTCCTACATGGTAAAATAATTGACTGTACACTCTTTGTATGGAATGCCTTAATTTCCTGTAAAATATAAACTCACAATATTAATGTGTAAACATGACTTTGAAAACCCACTCAAGCAAGGAAAACATGATAATTGAACCTCACTTTCCTGGTTGCAAGTAACTAAACCATCAAAATAACCTCAAAATATTCCCCTAACATTCTGATTAGAGTACATGTAAACATGATTGTCAGCCACATAATATTATCCTTATGAGCTGAAGAAGGACAATTTATGCTTAGCATATATTAAATAGGAGGGAAGTTGCAATATAGAATTGGCACCACTGAGAGATGAATAAATGGATACAGGGGTGCTATTCCAGTATTCTTTAAGGCCAGGCCCACTGCGGGTCACTGGGGTATATGTCCCGGGGAGAGGGGCGGGGGTACTTGGGTAAATTTTGGGTGGGCATGTGGTGGTGGCCTCTCAGAGCCCCTACCCCATTACAGTCTATTTTGTGACCAATTATAGACCCCTTCTTGGTCACTTTTGGGCAAATATGTAATTTTTGCGATCCCAACTTAGTCGCTTTCTATTTTTATTAATTGACTCCTTTTTTAAACTGAATGAAGAACACTTTATAAACATTCTAGTATGTTTGCTAACTGTAAAAATGAAGAACTGCCTTACCACTAAAAATCTGAAAATGTGCAACCCTATTCTAGTAACTCTATTAAAAATGTGACCCCATTATAGACACTCCAGTCGTGAAAATGCGACCCCATCCAGCAGCACATCCCCATTATCCTCTTATAAGGAAGTACCTTTCGGTGTATTTGTATTCAAAGTGGTTAATGAATAAAAAAAGTACAAATTAAAGAGAATGGACCCTTTAGCCGAATTATACATCACTATCCAGCGGATAAGTGTTAGGCAATCCAATCAGGTTATCCGGTGGATAGTGCTATCCCCATTTTGAACAACTGGGGCCAGTACTTTGCTAACAGATAAGTGTCATTATTTTGTTTCCTTTCCTTAAAACTAATAAATGAAACAGGTAAGAATTCTCGTTTTAATTATTCCAGAATACAATGTCCTTTACTTTTTAAAACAAAATGTTGTTTTAGAACTGCTCCTCGTTAAATGGATTTTTAACATTTCAAGCTGTTGAATATATGACCAGGCCTTGTTATTTTATTTGATTGCAGAATCCTTATTTATATTTGACTGGCTAACCTACTTACATGTATATGAAAGGGAGGTTTACAGGAAACAAAGCACTCAAGGACATGCATGGCCTATAGCTACAGTAAATTCTTTTGATCCAAGTTTTGCTTTATAAAAAGTAAATAAATGTTAAAGTTAGTTAAATTGGGGACAAGCTTGAAGGGCAGGAATTTGAAGGGTTTGCAGTCCATGTTTTTTTGGAGAGGAATCATGTCAATAAGGGATTTCACTAGTCAGTTAATGTTTGGGAACTAGCTGTAAACAATATACTTATAAGGTGGTTTATTCCATGTGATGTTTCAGCTGGTACCACTATAGTATAAATCGACATGCAGCAGAAGGCCTTCTCATGGCAAATGGAAAAGATGGGAGTTATTTATTAAGGGCAAGCACATCCAATCCTGGAGAATATTCACTGTCAGTAAAGTAAGTCAGTTTCAAGGTGTTATCAGAAGCCTTTTAGCTAAATGCCTTCTTTCAGACTTCCATGTCATTTAAGTAATGGCAAAATAGTAATGGTTGGCCATGGGGCATAATAATTTCTAACTTGGATGCTGTTTCTTCAAAAGATCATCATGTGGTTCAGAAAAATTCACCAAGAAGACAAATAATATTGTTTAGACAGTCATTGAGATTACATGTAAAAAAAGGAAAAATATTATAGAGATAGACAAACTCATTTCAAAGTCAGATGATTGCATTTTCAAGTTGCCACATGGGTTTGGTGAAAACTAAAATCCCTTTAAGCCTGGAATATAATTTGTACAGTAGCTGATCAATTTCCACCCTCCAAATGCTACAAACAAACTTGTATTTCTTAAAAAACAGTAAGATATCAAATGTGAAGAAAAAGGAAATGTAAAATTGTAAGGTTAGAAAATTTCTTTTTGAGGCCAATAAAAAAGGGTCTGAGTATTTTTGGTTCTAAGGTGTGGCAAGTTTGCAATCCGGTAATGAAAATAATATCTTAGCTTTTTAAGGTGCTTACTCAAAGCCGACTTTCCATTTTATACATCTATTTCATTACTTTTGTAGTCATCTAGAAGTGGAAGAGAATTTTATCACACCCAGTGACCTTGTCACACCTAGGCGTACTTACATGTAGATGATTCATTGAGTTCAAAATGTTTTGGAATGACAAATGATTTTATTAAAAAAGTGTAGGTCTAGTCATAAAAATATATATATATATATATAAATCAGTGTATGCAGTTGTTTTTGTGAGTTAAACATGAGCTGGCCATTTTGGAGCTACATGTAAGCATTCTCTTATCTTTTGTGATTGGCGTCATCCCTCAAAACTTGTTGGACTACTACTGTTGATCCATTGGCAGCCAAATTGACTGCCATTTGGCAGATTGGCAAATCTTTAGCAATAAAAACATCATTATTTTGACTGTCAGTCAACTGTTAGCAAGTGCTGTTTGTACATTGTCAGTATAGGTTGTTGAGCTTATGAGCCATATTCCTACAAACACCTAGAGAATTAAATTTTTTTCATGATGATGTTAAATTTTCATTTTTGTGTTAATATTACTAATTAGTTAGCCATCGCTGTCGACTTTCTATTACTTATCTATCAGGAAGACGTGCAGCATGTAGTTGCTTTGAGTCTCCCCTTTGGTTCCATTTTGAGCAGTCTACCAAAGAGTGCATAGATTTGACTTAACAAGTTCCTTAAGTTAAATTTATCTCCAGACATTTCATTGTTTCTGATGCTGAACAGCACTTGGGTAGAGACTTTAAGAATTCAATTGATGCAAGATATAAATTGAAGGCAAACACTTAACTGGAAAGCACCCAACAGAATATCCATAAAGCAGAAACCAAATGTTTAGAACGTCAGTCAATACTCTCCTTTTGACTTCTCCTGCAAGCAACCAGCTCTAGTTTTGATCAGCATTGTAAAACCTGGTTTGAAAGTAAAGCTCTTGTAAGCACCACTTTTTCTTCTTGCAAGCAGCCACTCTGTCAAAATTGACTTCTTGATCAAATTTAGGGTAATAGATACAAAAGCGCTAAATGCATGGTTTGTTTTTAATTGACTTCCATTAAGAATGAATGGAATGCACAGAATGCAATTCGATCATGCATGTTTGAACCTTCTGTCGCTCGTAATCTGACCATGCGTGTTTTGACTATCTGTCACGAGAAACTTACACGAAGCACAGTGATGGAGCGAAAGGGTTTTGACCTTCGATCTTTGTCACCCGTACTCTGTAACCTTTGGTATATGACTAGTATTTTAACCTGAATGTATTCACAAAAAAGGGGTTATTTACATACATGTATGGCAAGCTTTCTGCTAAAAGCTCTTGTAAGCAAACTGCCCTCAATATGTGGATCGCATGGTTGCTTACGAGAAGCCAGAAACAATATTGCAAGATGCATTTCAGCTGCAGCTCCCATCTCCTTTCTACGGTGGGGAATTGAAGAGAGGGTAGCAATACTCCAAGGGGTTTTATTTTGGTACAGGCTTGTTAGCACAGCTGGATCAATTTTCATATTCCTTTTTTTCAGGTGTGCCAATTCAGTGAAGCATTTCCAGATTGGTTGGGATGGTTCACAGTATAAATTTGGAATGGGTACTTTTTCATGTTTGAGTGAATTTGTAGAACACTTTGAAAACAAACCTTTGATTGGTGGTGATTCAGGTAAGGTTTTTCCATGAAATTCAGCCCTAGCTGTGTACTTTTGTTGGTAAATGTTAAGGAAGGACAAGAATAATGTAGAGGCCAGGGCCGAGTTGTTCAAAGCTGGGTTAAGATAACCCAGGGTTAGTGCGAGATTTGAGTTCAGATTTGAAAGCTTAAAAAGCATTTCAGTGTTAATTCTTTTTGTCTACAAGTTGATGATTGGAAGCTCTAAAAATAACAGAGAAAATTGTCTGAGAAAATGCTTTTGAACACGAGATAAAGAAACCCAGGTAAAATTTAACCCCGGCTGGTTGAATAATTTTTAAGAACAAACCCCAATGAATAAAAACAAACAACTCTTTTTATAGACTCAAGCAAAACTAACAATTGTGGAATGACTGAACAAAACCATTTGAATAGTGTATCAATAGAGAATGCATCACTGCAAAGAGGCCTACATGGTCAAAGCAACCCTAGCCTGGCATTAACTTATAGACTAGCTTGGTACTACATGTAAATGCATGGTCTTTTCAGAGATCATCATGCACACATCAGCCATTTTGGTGCAGGTGTGTAATTATAATTTATTATATTTATCATGGAAACAAATTCATTTGTTCAGAGAAACTGACAATAGATGCTACCCACATGACAAAAAATAAAATGATCCAAGCTTTCTACTAGTTATCATTATTGAAGTTTTCCTAATTCAGGTTGGTGTTGATCATCTCTTTATTGTTTTTTAGGAGTCTTGACATTATTAAAATACCCATATCCAAGAGACATAGCAGAACCATCAACTTATGAGAAGGTGCGAGTACATGCTGAGTGGGGCAAGAACAGAAGAAGCAGTGTTGAAAACAATACTGATGATGGTGTTCAGTCTGTGAGTACATGATTATCTGGTTTCATACATGTTGTAGATTTATTGAAAAAATAGTATTATATTGTCTTAATAAAAGAATTCTCAACCCCCCTGACATTTCTTTTGTATCAGGTGTAAGAGCTGCTGAACATTATCTTTCCTGTAATTTTCTGCTCAGTCTACAGTGGTTTATAAGTTCTTTGTTCTTTGATAGAGCTAGTTGAAAAATGTTTTGTTATGTAATATGAAAGTGACATTTGTAATGCATGTTAGGCAATCCCCTCCTCCCTTCTCCCTTGCGCACGGTCTTGCACCCAAATTTTCTTCCCCTTCCCTTTCGAATGCCTGCCATGCAGGCTAACAAATGGGCTTATATCCTTGTCTTTTGAGATTTTGAACAATTGCCTTCGTTTTGAATTAAGTATTAATTTCAATATCTCATAATCTATGAGCTCTCTTGTGGTGTATGGTGTATCACTTTCAATAAAAAAATTCAAAGGCGTTTTCCTGATATTTTCTGACTGCCATTGTTTTCCCTCTTTTGGGGGACGTTGAGGTGCCATCTCCATGTTAAGTACTTTAAATATTGCCTCTGAAAACATACCTCTGATTATCTCTTGCACATTGTCAGTTTGGAAAACCATCAAACAGATCTGTATCTTGGCAAGATCTTTTGTGTTTTTATCCCCTTTTATATATCAGAGTCTTGACTTTCAACAATTGTCAAAAATAATGGTCAGTAAGATTTTTATATTAATTTTGATGAACGGTGCCTAAAAGGATGCAGATGAGACCTGAGACCTCAGGTCACCAAAGATGTTGGCTTTCCAGACTCTTTCATGCCATTCAATGCTTTCCAGGCAAGAGCCTTAACGTGCTCGATCTGACATCTTGCTCATGCAGTTGAGGAAATGCATGACCCTTCATACGTGACGTCATCCACTTCCTCGAGCACTGTGCAATCGCACATGACCAAAGATCTCAAGGTGCTCTTTTACCTATCAAATGCCCCCTGTTGGACCTCTAAAATAATTTAATAAATAAATGCCCCAGGCTACTATTAGATCATTTACGGTACCTGGATTTTTGGAAGTGATTATTAGTATTCTAGTCAACTTAGTCATGCCCAAATCAAGGAAGGCCATCAGAGATAATTGTAGCAGCAGTTGACACTCGATCAGTTATTGAAAATTCCTTGCATTTAAATGTACATGTAAAGGTTCGTTTTAATATTTAGACTTATCATTTTTCAGTTTGGGTCAAAGGAAGGATATCTCACAAAGCTTGGTGGTAAAATAAAGGTAAGAATAGCTCTTAATTATTATATCAAACTCCAAACATTTTTTTGCTGTTCACAGATATCAGTGACAGTATTGTGGGGTTTTTCTTGGCAATTGAAAGTATAGGATCTATCCTGAAAAGCACCATTATTTAACAATTATTGAATGAGGCTGAGTATCATCTGAAGAATTATGGAGCTCGAGGACTGAGTGTTTTTGGCCTCGGCAGATAACACCGTCCAAGATCTCCAAAAGAGACCATTTTACAGTTGTGGACTCAGTATTCTAGCCTTTGAGTGAAAGTGAGGCTGAGGTTGACCTTGTTTTTATATAAACCTCCTTCCTTTTGTAATGGACATTATGCTTGAAAAATACTAGTTAGCATAAGAACATGATTTACATAATAAAGCAGGAAGGGTTATATCAAAACAAGGTCAACTCCAGCATCGTTTTCACCTGTAACACCTTACTGTAAAATGGGCTACTCTTCAGATGATATGAAAGCCGAATTCAATAATTGTTTATTATTCATTCATAATTTAATTCCTAGTTTAAAAACAAGCTAAAACATATGCTTACCCCCATCTATGTTAACTTCATCTTCAAAAATGCACATTTATTGGCAAGTTTAGGAGATAAAGGGTCGTTCAGGTGTGCAAATATCCTCCAAATAGCAGATGTCATCCATTGGGTTGGCTTCGTGGTGTTCTTGCTATGTTTGTAGCCAATAGTTTGCGTATTTCTTACATCTTGAAACTAGGGAAATGTCCTGTCATTTTGAAGTCACAACCGAAAGAACTCGACCTCGTCCACAGGTCTTCTCGGTTAAAGGTTCAACAATCCGGCAATTTCACTGCACTTTTGATGTTATTTTTCACGTATTGCAAATTTCTTCCATATTTGGTCAACAATAGCTGGTTATGATGAATAATGCGTGAGGTTTTAGCCAATCAGAAACGGAGAAATAATGCGTGAGGTTTTAGCCAATCAGAAATGGAGAATATTTTTAATGAATAATAATAATTATTATTATTATTATTTACTGTGCTCACACCATTCAGTTTGTAGTGAATGCCCAAATGGAAGTTTCTACAGGGTTTATGTAAGGAAATCACTGTCAAAACATCATTTTAATAAATTTTTATTGTAAATGGCCCTTTTTCCAGAAAGACAGGCTTAAGTCTTTTAACCACTTAACTTGCTTTGAAATTAATTTTCATCTTTGACCTGTACACCCTTTTTTCTTTGTTTTTACTGTTCTTGCTGAGTTTTCTCTTAACATTGCTGCGATGTTCTAGCTAGGATAGTGTCTGAAAAAGGATGTGGTCCTTACCTTTGTTTTGACCCTTTAGGTGACAGCACCTAGCTATAGTTAATATGTTATTTTCAACTGGTAAATTTTGCTGTTTGGTTGTCATTATAGTTACCAAACTTTTAACCATCATCATTTCTATACTTGAAAAACATGACTCCTAGTTGTTCACTTACTTCAATCATTGACTGTGTATTATTTTATAATGATTTAAAATCAAATTGTTTATTTCTATGGCTCATTTGCTGCACTTACATTTCATGTTGTGCTGCATTATTTCTAAAATCCGTCAAATTCCACAAGAATAAACCCTTCTGTATGGGTGTCTTGGGCAAAACATTTTCTCATTAAAGTTCCAAACATCACACAGCAAACAGTAGAATTATGTTACTTTTTGCATGTTGACCATGTCACTGGCCTTTAGCTAAAACCCAGGTCGTTACTTGGTTGGTAAAAGGAGAGTGCTAACTTAACTGTTCCCTCTGGACTTGTTGATGAAAGTTCATGAATAGACCATTTTTTAGTTGTGGACTAAGCACCCTAGCCTTCAAGTGAATGTGAGGCTGACGGTGACCTTGTTTTCAGGGTTCTCAATAGATTTTTAAGTAGGAGGTGATCACTGATAAAGTAGGAGGCTCTTCAGCAAAGCCAGAGGTGTCAAAACAAAGCAAAGAAAAGCGACTTCAACACAAAGTAAGCGGCTATAAATCCCAAAGTAAGCGGCGATCAATCGCTGGGTGCCGCCTTCTATTGAGAACCCTGTGTTTTGATACAAACCTCCTTTGCTTTGTTATGGAAATTGTACATGAAAAATACTGGTTAGCATAAGAATAACTTGATTTACATGATAAAGCAGGAAGGTTTGTATCAAAACAAGATCAACTCCAGCCTCGGTTCCATACATAACTGTAAAATGGCCTATTCTACCTGAGTGTATCAATAATTTTAGGACTGCATGGTCAAAGGGTGCATTGCATATGCTTAAAGCCCTGAGTTTGCGTCAGATAAAACATCACAGAAGTGATGATGCTAATAATAGGTTCCCCTCCGCTTACAGCAGTACATAATATTCATTTAAAAAAGTTTCTCCTCCTATAATGTATATTCTGTGTTTGCAGTTACGAAAAGTTATTGGTCTTATACTTTCAATCCTGTTACCTCTAGCAGAACTGGAAAACAAGATGGTTTGTACTCTTGAAGAATGAGCTAAAATATTATAAAACAAAAGGGGTGAGTACTAACTTTGACGTGGGTGAACGTATGAGGATGACCTAAGTAACATTTAAAAATCCCTAGTTTTTTTGTGTTTTGCAGACCAATGGTTGCTTCTGGTAGGAAGGTTCTTTACCTTTAATTGTGATTGTTTATACTAAATATCTCCTTGTGCATCTGATGGAATTCCCCATCAATATCAGAATGTGGATTATCTTGCCTTATTGTATATTTACTGGTCGTTATTTGTTACTTATAAATCCAAAAGTACATGATATTTTAGTGAAAATGAAGAAATTATCGTCGCAGTGAACGCAATTTATGCAATTGCGTAAAACAGCCTGAAACAAAAAATTCAGGACTTCAACGGGGTTTGAACTCGTGACCTTGCGATTACTGGTGCAATGCTCTACCAACTGAGCTATGAAGCCAGACGTTGGGAGCAGGTCAATTGTGGGTTCATATGTTCCCATGAAAGACGTGTTCAAACCCCGTTGAATTTCTGAATTCTTTTTTTCATAAATTGCGTTCACTGCGATGATCATTTCTTCATTTTCATTTCATTTCCGCAGTTCATATATATCATTAACACTCATTTCTTTCATGGGAACATATGAACCCACAATTGACCTGCTCCCAACATCAGTGGCTTCATAGCTCAGTTGGTAGAGCATCGCACCGGTAATCACGTAGTCACGGGTTCAAACCTCGTTGAAGTCCTGAATTTTTTTTTTCAGGCTTCTTTACGCAATTGCATAAATTAATTTCACTGCGACGATCATTTCTTCATTTTCATTCCATTTCCGTAGTTCATACATGATTTATTTCATATATCATTAACACTCATTTCTTTCATGGGAACATATGAACCCACAATTGACCTGCTCCCAACGTCAGTGGCTTCATAGCTCAGTTGGTAGAGCATCGCACCATAATCGTGAGGTCACGGGTTCAACCCCATTGAAGTCCTGAATTTTTTTTTTCAGGCATCTTTACGCAATTATTGCGTAAATTGCATTCACTGCGACGATCATTTCTTCATTTTCATTTCATTTCCGCAGTTCATGTATGATTCATTTTTCATATATCATTAACAATGATATTTTAGTATTTCAAATGTGCAGATCCTGCCTTCTTATTGCATGGTAGAGCTGTAGATTGCAGAAAAGGAGATTGCGGATTTGGTTGGCCATTTGCATGGCTCAGAGGACCATGCAGAATTGCTGTCTGTCCCATCTCCAGTAGAAAATGTACAAATGTTGTCCTCAATATTTTAATCAGTGCTTTTGGCCTCATTACACTGACGCTGGTGAAGTACTGGTTTTTGTTTTTCTATGAGTGGGACAATTTTTAGTGACCATAAGAAAGGGAGTATATTTATTCAAGGGTGTAGCTTGGTTACTGGAGTGGAGATCTACACTTTCTAATAACAATATCTGGGTAATTGCTAGGACAAGGAGCCAATTAAAACAATAAACTTGGAAGAATGCCAAGAAGTAGCCAGAGATGAATCACTAGGGAAAGGAAACTGTTTCAGGTACAAGAATTGTTAATTAAATTTTGGGGGGTTGGGTCAAAGTTTTCATATGATTGTGTTAAAAAAAATGTCAAATCACACACTGTCAGGCATAATTTGTTAATTGCACTACTTCTTCTGACTTTGAACACAGGATTGTAATGCCTTACCGAACATTTTTCTGTTATGCTAATTCTACACAAGAGGCTGAGGAGTGGATTAAAATGCTACAGTGGAAGCTGGTATGTAGTGAATCTTATTGCTTGGGTATTCCATGGGAACAACTAAGCTATAAAATGGGAAGGGTTTTTTTTGTTCTGGCACAAATTGCTCTCTGGCACCTTCAATGTGTGTGCAAGATATAAGAGTATGTTTAAAATCGGTCAGCATTCTAAACCAGAGCACAGAGTACATAGCTGCCTGAGACACAGTCAGGGGTTTCAAAATGTTTTGAAGTAGGCAGCGGACTCTGGAAAAGTAGGTGGCTGTGGGCCGCCAGGCCTCTGAAGCTAGGGGGGTCTAGAGTAGCCGGTGACATACAATCAAGTAACTGGCGGAACTCTGGCGGTTGTCGGCTTGTTTTGAAACCACTGCATGGTGAGCAGCGGCATCTGTATCTGGTGTATAAAACTCTGTGACCACAAGAATGAATTCTGACATTTGTTATATGCTTTTTTGTTCCAAGCCAATTTGATAGGGGAACTTAATAGAGATGGTGGGCTTACATGTATTTGAGAGGGGGTTTATTTAATTTACAAAAGAAGATAGTATCAGTTCTCCATAAAGAACTAGAGTACAGAGTGGAGAAGCTCAAGAACAGGAAGGTTGGAGGTCATGCAGCCGAGGAATTCGAACTTCCAGTTGGTAGATAAACCATCCCTGATCAGTCCACACGAAGTTTTACAGTTGTGATTGAATAATACAGACTATCATTTTAATATTAGTGTTCAAAGAAAAATAAGGGAAGGGAGGGGAGGGGGCCTTAATAAAAAGGGGGGGCTTATTAACTTTCTTCCCCTGAAAGGGGGGTATTAGAGGGAGGGGCTTATTTGAGAGGGGGGACCTAATGGAGGATTTATGGTATGTGGTATAACTTTGGGGCTAGTCGTTTAATTCCTGTGAGGAGGAGGTGTGGGGGGGAGTTGAGTGGCCATTTTGGTGGGGGGTCATTTTCAAAACCTTGATTGGTTTTGGGAGGTCATTTTCAGATAAAGAAACATCACCTGGAGGGTCATTTTAGTAAATATTGGGGGTCACTTCATGATATGTAAAATTTATGTTGGGTCATTTCTAAAAAGGCTGGAGGGTTGGCTTTAAAATCTTTGAAGTCTTCTCAAAGTGGCCAGCCCCTTTGCCAGACCCTAATCATTTTATCAAAAAGCAGATAGATAATAAATAAATAATAATTTAGTGGTAGTACATCCACAAAGTGGTCCTTCATCTTCCAATTAAAAAAAAAAATCAATCTTAATCAAATAACAATTTAGAAATGTTAGCTTATGAGAAGAGGGGAATACTGGAGTGTAGCAAACCATAAGGATGCGGCTGTATGTTGTAATAATCTGTGTTTATAAAAATACTATACTTTACCCATTATTTTATTTTTTTCCAGGAAAATGTCACTATTTCAAGGCACAGGCAGTCTACCGTCAGATAAAAGTGCAAAGAAAAACAGCCATGAAGATATTTTATCCAGATTGTAATTTAAATTTAAAAATGTTCTTTGGAGAACAATTTGTAAATAGCTATAATGTCAGCATCAGAGTCTTTACCAGTATATCAAAAATAATAGGAAAAGCCCCACGTGGGAGATCTCTATTGATATTGTATTAGAATGTGGGCTTATTTAGGAATATCTTCTAGTAGTGAGAAGAGGCCCTGCCAGGGGTGGGGGGGTCCCATGTCGCTCGTCTGAATTTTAAAATGTCTCGTGTCGGTGGTCAGTGTTTATAAATGCCTCATGTCACTGTCGGAAATTGAACAAAAATTCTTTGTCTTTGTTGGAATTTTAGCAAAGGGGGATGGCGATGCATTGTAAAGAAATTATTACAGCTCTGCAATTTCTCAGTTAACATTTCCCAAATCGAACACCAATACATTGCCATTCACAATTAACACAATTCACAGGAGGGGCCATGGAAGCTCACTGACAAGAGACGTTTTGTGAAGCGCAAGGAGAATTTACAAAAGTTACTTCTTCTTAGCATTCAGCCTGGTGATAAATTAGCCAAAGCACAGTTCTTTGTTGCTTATTCTCGGCTTTGCCATCACTGTCACAATTTGGCGTAGGGAGGTTGTCTCTTGTCGCAATTTCATTTTACGCTTTGTCACTACTTTTTGGGTCATGTTGCCTGTCGGAATTTACCCTGGCAGGGCCTCTAAGAAGACATAGTGGAACGAGACATGACTTTTCCTTAAATCCTCAGATATGTTATTAATACTGGTTGTTTGCCATTTAGACGCAAACTGGTTGGTTCACAGTTTAAGTAAATGGTAAGAAACATACAGAAGTGGTAAATTTCATTCCAGAACGTGTTTAGCATTTGCACAAATTAGATCAGTTCCGTTTACAAAATCTACCTGAATGGGGTTACGTTTTGCGAATGCTAAACAACCACTGTATCCTCATTTTTAAAAAGAAGTGGAAATGTATTACCAATTTCCTATCATGCAACCTTAACGAAAAATCTTTTAACTCCCTAAGCTACAGAAATACTGAAATAACACAAAATCATAACAATGATTGTCATTAAAGATTAAGCATTGAATTTCCCTGCACTAAGGAAAAGTCATTCTTTGTTTTGAAAAAGAAACTTTGTAATATCTCTGTACATTGCATTCCGTGTGGAAATGTTAACTTTCCATGGTGTTCCTTGGTGTTATGGAAACCATTCTTGGTTTGGGTGTTTGTTGTGATGGGGGTATCATTCACAGTGACAGTGTCTTTCAATCTTTTGTATTAGGACATAATTTTGGTGATCATGCTCATCCACAACACCAAGAAACTACTAGTTTTTAGTATGCTCCCAACTATAAATGCATCAATCAACAAATAAAACAGATGTGTTTATTTAAATGCTCCATCATTATTGACCAATGTAGGAGGAGTTTTGTTTCAAATGGTTTTTCAAGTGGGAAATCATTGGTATTAAACTAAAAAGGGAGTGTCTTCCGCTTTTATTAAGTTCCAAACTCTACTTACTAAAACAGTGAAAAAGTGAAGAAAAGTAAAACAAAGGCACAAGCTGTGCATTAAAACCCGAAGTTTAAAAGTTTCACTAGAAAACTAAGATTGGCAATTACATAATTAAGTTGTTTTACGTATATGTTTTGAAAAGAACTACATCACAGCAATTTAGTCTATTTTGTTTACAGATCCCAGTAAAATCTCTATAAAATGACAAACACTGAAAAACTGTTAGACTGAACATGAGTTTACTGAAAGAACAAACACAAAATCTAATATCCATAACCCAGTGTTTTCTATTTTATTTGTTACTGAAGTGTTTCTTTCAAGAATGCTTTCACTTGATTTAGTGACCATAAGATCCTAACAGTTTAATTTAGCTAAATTGTGTGACAGTCAGTTCCTTTAAGTTAGCAAGAGCACTGCGAATAAGATTTCACAAATTCAAGGATGACATTTTTTGTTTCTTCTTTCATGTGTTGCTGTTATTTAATGAAAGAGTCAAATGTTGTCCAACTTCTTTCACAATATTTTCACTGACTCTGAGTTCAGTACGGTTAATAGCTAGTATCTAGTGTGGTATCTTGGAAGAATATTATTTGATAAAGAGCAGCCAACAGTGTTAAGGTTTGAGCATATTACTTCTTATTATGCCAGAGAAATAAAAGCATTCTAATTGTAATTAACAATTAGTAGACCAAATGCGGTTGTCATTCTTTCCTCAGAGCCTTGTGCAGCAAGTGAAATAGTAAAATTATGCAAATTAGGGCCTCTCTTCTTGCTCCTCAATTTATGGCGAGACTGAGTATGCTGATGCCTTGGCAATGGCAAGCCTCGACACACTTAAAGGCAGCTGAGTTGCTGCCTGTCAGAGGTTCATCATAAATGCACGACAACATCCTCCCCTCATGAAAGTTATCCCCTCTCCCACGTACCATGTGTGAATACTCTCTTCATTCCAGCAATCCGAGACCTGTACTTGGTCGGGGTTGGACTAAAGACTAAATGATTTTGTTACAGTCAAATATCAACATATCATGTGTGCTTAATACTGGCCTACCCAGCAATTCAGTCAATGCTGCAATTGGGTAAAATAAACAAGCATCTATCTATCTAATTATCACACATGCTCACGATGCATCGTGACTCAAAAGAAAAATAATAGGAGACTACTCCCGGTCTAAACAGTAAAGCAACCTGAAAATTTTTCACTTTTGAATTTTTGTATAGCTCACATGACTGTTCTGACTGCCCTGTTTGGTTATTTTACCTTCCTTTTTAAAAGGGTAGTAATAAAGGTTTGCTGTCAAAATGGTTATGAATGCTTGCGGAAGCACTTGTCAGTGTGGCAAATTGATTGGAAAAGGTACAAGGTTGCTGACAGACTTTCTAAAAGTCCTGTTACCTATTTAGTTATTTTTTTGGTTGGTTGGGCCATTCTAAAGGACTTTTTATACCCATTTTGCACCAAATTTATCAGGCAAAAACAAGTGATGACATCATGACCAATAGAAGACTGAGGTTTTTGTCAATCCATATTTTGTTTTTGCTGTGTGCTGTTCTCTTCAAGAGAAATGGAAGATGTTTGATGCCACTCCTCACAAAGCATATGTCAATCATTTATTTGTGCGTGAATTAATTATACAGTGATTCACATCCAGTCAGGTGAAACAAGCCAACCTTGTGGCTTGCTTGGTCGTCCGTGATCACTGTGCAACCTCATAAGAGCTTGCTTCTCTTGCTTTTGAGACTGCTATCAACCTAGAACTCATGAGAGGTCGACTTAGAGTATGTCTACTATTTTTGTTATCCATCCAATCACTCATTAGTTGGAAAAGCAGAACCGACAAGTTCCCGCTGTATGGCTGAATTTACCATTGTTCCCCATGAACAGACACACAAAAGTAAATTTGCCCTTTGTCCTAACATGTTCACTTTTCTTGCTTTACACCTTTTCTGCCATGAGACTTGTGGGATCGACTTCACTTGTGGCAAGTCTAGGTCACTGACAGTATGCAAACCTGTGACCTACACAAAATAAAAGTTGGGTGTTTTAAACACTGAGCTATGGTGGGACTGGAAGCAAGCTGGGCCATTTAAGTTTCAATAAAAGCTGGTACTGTAACCGGCGGTCTACCGCTGCCCATAGCTCCTCTTAACGACATTAATTTGTTAAGATTTTGGAGAAAAGGGATCTTAAAGCCCCTTTCCTAGCCATTACTGCCTATTCCACCATCAGCAGCTGAATATGGAGAAAGTTATTGAAATCTCTGTTGTTCCTAGGGGTAATTATGGGAAAATACTGGTCTCGCAAGGTAGAGGAGGTGCAAGTCTTCCAATTAAGTTCAGTTCAAATGTTCAAGTTGACCACTGGTATTTGCCAATCATCATGTTCTACATATCCATAGAGACCGGCATGTAATCTTAATCGCTTGGTTTTGCCGACATCAATCTTTACTCCACGTAATCTTAACCTTGCTAAACTAGCCTCAGAAATATCTCTACAATCCCTGACTTCCAGCGTGTCCAGATAAGGACAGTATTCTCCAATCAGTTTTATAGCGGTATTAGAGACTCGCCAACACCCCTTCAATCCGAGATGGGACAGTTTAGGGCATGAATTGGCGACAATTCGAACCGAGTTATCACTGACGCTGTAACAATCATTGAGGAGAAGAGTTTGCAATCCATTACAGCAAGAGGCAAGAGACGATACGCAAGAATCTGTGACTTCCCAACAGCCTGTGAGATCGACATGCTGTAGGCCATTACAGCATAACGATAACTGAATAACAGCATCCGATGAAACCCAGCGACACTCACGTAACTTAATTACTCTTAATCCGGAGTTAAACTCCGCCAATGTATATAGAGATAAATTTGTTAAACTTGAACATGCAGTCAAATCCAACTCACTAATTCGCGGATTTCGCTTTAATACTTCCACGAGGGAAGCTTCATCCAGCCAGCCTTTACAGTTTTTCAAAACCACCAGCTGTAAAGACGAACTTGCTTTAGTTAACAGAGAAAATGCATTTGTTGTGAGGCGGGAAGAAACTTCACTGCAATCTAGACTTCTTTGCCAAGCGAAATACGAATCGCAAACTTCTCGGAAAAATCTGCTAACCCGTCTGCACTTGAAGAGCTGTTGTATACTGAAATGCGGAAATATATGTAGAAAAATCACGTCTTCCCACGGAAGATTGAAGAAACTTGGGCAAACACCTTTCGCACCCGCCATGTTTGTTTCCTCTTCATCCTTGCCCCCAGGGTCCTCTCGTTTTCCAATATGGCGGCAAGGAAGACGAAAGACATGCACCCTCCCACAAAGGACTTTAGGCCAAGGTGGTTGCCCAACTTGCGCCATACCGGACAGGACTTCTGTTACCCTGGGTTCCACAGGATACTTTTTTTTATCCAGGGGCGTAGCCAGGATTTTTTCAGAGGTACGCACAATTCTCCAAATCGCT